CAGGGTCAAGTGCCCAGATCTCCCCCAGTGTCCACTTTTGAAGTCTCGGGGCAGACGCTACCTCCCCTGAGAAGTTTCTTGCAGTCCGCCTCCTCACTGTCTTCTCTGGTCTGTGCGTGGATTTGCTGGCCCCTGTCTACTTCACAAGAAGCTCCGGAGGACAGGCACCTGGCTTCCTGAGTCGTCACTGCTCCAGGCACAGCAGGCTCTCAGCCAGCACTTAAATAATAAACTGGTCATTAAATATTCCATTGATTTTTGAAAAGCTGTTGAGGCAGAGCTGCCTCTTACTCCTGGCATCCCCGTGTGACAGAGGAGATTGTTGGTCCACAGGATTGTTGTCCTTGATTTGTTTCATTGTTGTTCTATCTTTGAGTTTTGATTGCTGGCTCTTTAGAAGTGGATCATCAGGCCTTTCTTCTGAGTGGGGGGGTGCCTCCAACTACCAACCTTTATTTGACAGCCAAGTGGTTAACCCTTTACACCCTGTAGGGATTCAGGATTCTTGTTCATCATTAGCTATCTTCAAATATGTCCTGTCTGTCTATCTGTCTCTGCTAACACTATGGATCAGGCAAGGTTCACAGTTCAAACCCACTAGCTGCTCTAGGGAGAAAGATGAGGCTGTGTGCTCCCATAAAGACTCACACTCACGGAAACCCTATTTAGAGTCCCTCTGAGTCGGAATTCACTCCGTGGTGGTGGGTTTGGGGGCTTGGGGTTCTTTCACTGGAATAAAGCAAGGAGTCCCACTTGCTTCCAGGGCCTGAGGCTCTTCCTCCATGACAATGGTCAACTTTGTTTCTTAGTTCAGACTCTGACTGGCTTGGCTGTGGCCTGCTGGGCTTAGGGAAGTTCCCCCTTTGCTTCTCTGCTGCCCAGTGTTTGCCCTCCAGGTCCTCAGGTGACCTGCACCTCTCCTCCTGTCACGGGGAAGGGCTCCCACTCCAGGCATGAAAGCTCCCTGACGGGGCGCTCGCTACTTTGAAAGGGGACCGCCCTCCTTTTCCCCTGGCAGTTTACATTTACCTTCTTCTTAAGAAGCCCCGCCCTTAGTCAGCCTTCTGCATCCAGGGCCCCTGCTCCCTCTGCAATGGTTCAGGAGGGCAGCTCATCATGGAGAGGGTTGTTTTTTTTTTAGAAAGTGTTTTCGAGAGAGAACATAATAAAGAAAACTTCCAACCCCAGTCTGAGAAACAGCCACACGAAGGAGGGTCAGGAAACAAGTGTAGATAAGAGAGTAGGTGACAGAGCTGAACTTCTGGCGTGGAATATTTAAAGGAGCCAAAGAATCTTCTGCCAGGGGCCTCTGAGGCCAAAGAATGGTGTGCTCCCCTCTGTACCTGGGAAGTAACATCAGGGTCATAACTGGCTGGGTGATGCCTGAATCCTTTGCCCTGAATGTTTGCAGAATGGGCTCAGAAGGGCTTTCCTCTTTCTGCAGTCTATGTCACTGGGAGCAGTCTACTGATGCAAGCGCGGTGGTTCCACATCCTGGGGATGCTGATGTTCTTCTGGTCCTCTGCCCATCATTATAAGTGCCACGTCATTCTCAGCAATCTCAGGAAAAACAAAGCAGGTGAGCCCTCCTGTGCAGGGATTCCATGCCTCCGAAATTCGTTGTCCTGGTCCTGCAGTATTTTCCTTTCTGCCTTTGATTACCAACAGCCCTGGTGGCACAGTGGGTTGTGCATGGGGCTGCTCTCCACAAAGCCACCGGTTTGAACCCAGCAGCTGCTCTGGGAGAGAAAAGGGAGGCTTTCCACGCTCTTAAAGAATGTACAGCCCCAGTACCCCACCTGGGGCAGTTCTCCCTTGCCCTGGCGGGTCACTATGAGTCAGAATTGATTCGGTGGCAGTGAGATTGGTTTGACTTTAGTTGTCTTACTTGCCAAATAGACACGTCTCTGGTGTCTCCCTGGCCATAAAGCAAGATGTTTGCCTGAGAGATCTCTCTAGTCCTGATAGTCTGTGCATTGATCCCGGGCCCAGGTGACGGGGCCCGCCCGGCACAGGTGTAGCTGA